TCCGCGTACTTGATGAACATTGCCAACAATTTGTAAAGGGAAGGAGTGAGCTAACCCGGGCACACCCCGTAATAACGGCAGATATCCACCACCAGCATTGGGAGCGGGATCTTGAACCCCAACCTGAAAGGATAGGCGTAAAAAACGCAGTATCCCCCGCGGTCGGTGTGGACCCTCTCCTCGCTTCTAGCGAGAACGATGTCTGCATGGGTAGGAATGACCCCCTGTTCCCGTAATCGGGCCATCCCAATCTTCCCCATTAACGGGGCTTCATCCACCGGTTCCTCTCCACCGTCGACAGTGAAATCAATCGCTAGACCTCCGGATCGAGGAACCACCTCGTCAACCGACGGAGTTTCTCCGGACTCTATCTGTTCTACACCTCCCATTGCCGGAGATGGCCCTTCAACTACCGGAAAATCTATTGGAAGAGCATCGTAGGAAGAACTGCCTGCCATTGTTGATCTACTAAAGACAAATGTTATCACAATCAAAGGAAAGAAAAGAGAAGATGAATTAGAGAAATGAAAAAGTTTCCTCAGAATCTCTCTCAGATGAACAATGAAGATATGAGAAATGAATGCCTCAACCCACCTTTATAGGTAACATAAATGGCTTTCGCGAAACCCAATAGCCATCATTAACTGCACGACCAACCGTGAAACGGTTCGATTCTGCCGAAGCAAGCGTCATTATGACAAGCTCCGCAAAGCAGCTTCTCAGCCATCCGCCAACATACCGCCGCCAGAATAATCGCTACGACCTGCGAATGCTGAAAAAATGTGTCGTACGCCGTCAAAATTCTGGACTTGACCAAATACGTACCCGGCACATACTCATTCCCCACGGCCATCTCCAATATATGAAAGGCTACGGCCTTCTCCAACGTGTAAACGGCTAAGGCCATCGCCGAGCACGTATCAAGCGTGCCCCCATTCTCCTCGGCCGCACAACATACGCCCTGTCCACCATGGCCGAACGGGTATGCTCCCAAAACAAACGTAAGGATCAGAGCACAATGCAGCTCGACCCCACTCGAAGTTAGTTGAAAGGTCAAGTGCCTTCGCCTAAAAGGAGAGTTCGACCTCGATCGAACAATGACTTGATAGCCCAATAACAGGATACTAATACTCTACAAGGTTAAGGGCCATCGCCAAAAGGAATTCGGCCTCGACCGAAGCAACAGTCGACATCCCCATCCGTGTTTCTCGAAATACAGCCAATGGAATCCACTCATCGAGCTCGGCCAAAGCCCGACCTCAATAAGCGGAGGGACTAACTGTATGGGTCAGAATCCGACCCCACGATAATTAACAAGGCTAATCCCGTTTTAAGTTAATTCATGATTAACTAGTGGCACGACCACTCAGAATTGACGATGTTCAACCCGCATCTGGCTCGATCGACAAGGCCATGGCCTATCCGCCACCATAAAGGCGAGATCCCAGCGTGGTCACGGCCACTTATTGTCAGCTCACGAAGCTCACAGTTATAAATATTAAGAGTGGAAGCCCTAGAAAGGGGACTGCTTCTTCACCACTATTGAGAGGAGAGAGAAGAGAAAAATACACCCATCTTATGGGAAGAGAAAACACCATTGTAAGGCTCTGAACCTCTTCATGGAGAGGCAGACCAAACAAATATTATCAATAAAGGTTTCTAATGTTTCTCCCCCTAATCCTGAGTACTTATTTTCGTTTCTTTCATTTGGTCCAACGGATTATTACGATTTACTATGATTTTCCCGTGATTTATTTGTATTGTTTCATACTCATAAGATATGTAATAACTTTTGAGCAAACAATTTCTGTAGAATGAATAGGCCTGATTAAAAAAATAAAATGGGTCTAAATAGAGCGGAGTGGGAATTAATGATTTCTCTTCCTCCTCCTCTTTCATCTTCTTCTCTTTTATCTTTCATTTTTGAGAAATGATTAGTTTATTTGTGTTTTGTCTTGATTGTTTGGTACCGGACATACATTTTATATTCTTTGAATTAATATCGTATCACAAAAATACGTAGAGATACAAAAGAAAATTAAACGTTGACTTGAACTTTGATTAACTATTGCAAAAGTGTCATTTTCTCAATATTCATCGAGTGTTGTAAAGGTTACACTTCTTTCTTTTTCCTTAATATGTTATTTTGGAAATTCAAAATACTCCAAGTACGCTTTAGAGAAGGAATGATAATGCAAAGATATTACAGAAATAGAAAACTATACCTTGTGTTGAACTTTTAACAATATATAGAAAAACTATTTGTTTTGTTGAATTTTATGTTTCAGTATATATAGATCTTTTCTTTTTGTTTAATAGTGAAGGTATTATTTTGTGGCATGATGTTTTGGATATCATCAAAACATGGCAAATAATACAACAAGGTACCAGTGTCAATAATTTATATTCATCCAAGTATATTACATTAACTACTTATCCAAATTTATTTTCATCGATAAAAGAAGATTTAATGCCTTAATTTAAACCTTCAAATTAACTCGATAAAGTTCTTGCAATGAAGTAAAGTGTATGCTTTCATGTGTATAAAAATAGAGAAAGCGAGTCTGGATAATTTTAGAAAGAAGTAACCAATCTTAGAAATGCAATTACATCACAGTTGATAATGTTATAGTTGAAGAATAGAGAAAATAAAATTATAAAAAATTTAACAATAAATTTTCATTCATATTTTATGTATAAGACCGCGCAAAGCGCGGGCGGATTGACTAGTTATACTTATAATAATGGGTAAGTTTCTCTCTTTATCTTCATGATTGTCAAAGTTCCCTTCCCTTCTTGGGAGAAGTCTTTATAGTACTCCATTAGCAAGGTCTTTAAGGTTCTTTATTTAAGTCTGATATTTTTTTATAATACTATGTCTAAATCAGCGTCTTTTAGCTGGCTTCTCTTAAAGCGAGGCGCTTTAAAGAAAATACTCATTAATTTATATCTCACTGTTTAAGATTATAACACAATAGTTTGGTGTAAGCATCGAAAGCGAGATAATGTACATTGTTTTAATTTACACCGTCAGATTAAAATAACTTACAACAACAAGTACATATTGGCTAGCAATTCTAATTTAGTAACATAGAAGTGCAATAAATAATACTATATTATCACTACCAGAAATTTGAGCAAAACCGTCCAGAAAAACCGACCAAAGTTGATCGGTAAGGATCAATAACCGTCCAAAATAAGACCATTTATGTGTGGACGATATTTTGAAGGTCGGAAGAGCATATCGATCAAAGTTGGTCGGAAATATTGCCAAAGTTGATCAGTATTTTAATTATGTAATTGAAAAATGTACCATCTAGGAATCGAACCAGAGTCTGTACTGTGGTAGGATACCATTCTACCACTAGACCATTGGTGCATTTTGTTTCAAGACTGCATTTTATTTTATTTATACTATTTAATTGTATTTTTGCACGAAAATAACCGACCAAAGTTGGTCGGTTCTATTAAAAAATAAAACTACCGACCAAAGTTGGCCGGTTTTTTAAATGTCCGGCTAAATTAACCGACCAATTTCGGTCGATTTTTTAATATTAATTTTAATTTATTTTAAATGAAGAACCGACCAAAGTTGATCGGTTTCTTAAAAAATAATTTTTGCTGGACTCAAAAATAGTTTTTCGCATTTTTGCGCCAAAGAAAATCGACCAAAGTTGGTCGATTTCGTAAAAAAAATTAAAAAATAAAATATTTTGAAAAACCGACCAACTGTGGTCGATTTTTTGACCAGTTTTTTGACCGACCAAAATTGGTTGGTCGACTATGATCGATTTTTGCCGAATTTTTAATAGTGTATGACTGGTTAGATTTCACTGATAGTGTAAAAATTATTTACACTGTCAGTGTATGTAAATGATATCTTTTAATTTGAGGCCGGCAAATTTAATGTGGAGAATAATTACTTACCTCAGCCATCGTGCACTGTGGACTTTATCATGCCACATTGTTGTTTGGAGGAGGAAAGCTGAATGCTCGATCACAATCCTGAATATTGTCTTTCTTTTATCGTTAGATGATAAATAAATTAATTGTTAGTAATCTATATTCGAAAATATATTTAAAAATAAAAATGTTATAAAAGCATAAGTGCATAAGAACAGAATTATTCCAAGTCCATTGAATTCACAGTGTTTCCTTAAGGAACATAATCCCTTCCTAGTACCCGAGGTTTAAGATTATTTTCTCTCAGGATAGAACGGATTACCCTCACTGGTGTAGCGGTACTTCAAACCCCAGTGACAATGAACGCAAAGAATGTTGGAGTTGGAGTTACCTGATGATTGGACTAGGCGACTGAACTAGCTGGTGGAACGATTGGGCCTAGCCCGTATTTATTTTATAACAGCTTTCATTTTTTCTTTTTTATGTTACACTGTACAGGCCCACAATATAAATAGGGGCAAATTAATATTCTAGAGGGTTCTTTTTCACATTTTTCATTTTTTTGTAAAAAGAAAGGAAGAACACTTCTTCTCTGAAAAAGGAAACGATTTTTCCCCTTTCTCTATCTCATGAACCCTAATTGAAAATCTGTATTCTCATGATGATTTCTGATTATAACATGGTATCAGAGCGGGTAATCTGGTAGTCCCGGGCGTTCTGTATCGACCGATGCTACCCTCGTCAAATTTCATCGGATATATCTTCATCGCTTCGTTTTTCGCTGAGATTCAGAATATGACATTTTCGTCGATTTTTGTTCAATTCACGAGTTAAGGAACTCCTACTCGACCGTGTCATTCTATTTTGGTCAGAATTTGCTGCTGATTATCGGAGTTTTGTGCTCTTCGTCAAAGCTAATGTTTTGGGTGATTAACGGAGTTTTGTTGGTCTTTGCTAAGGCTGAAATTCTCTTTTCAAGCTGAAGTTTCTCAAGGCATTTCTTCTTCAGGTTGCGAAGAAGTGTGGTACAATCATTTTTATTTGTTCTCTTGCATGAATTCATTGTTGTGAAATTTTGTTGCTGTATTTTTGTTATCATGGTTAATTCCACTCCAGACTCAAGTTCTTCCTCCTCTGCTTATACTCCTAAACCTTCAAGTCCGTTATTTCTCCTTCCTTCTGATGTACCGGGGGTGTCTTTAGTTGTTGTGCCCTTTTCCGGGACTAGTTTTGGGGGTTGGAGGAGGAGTATGATTGTGTCTTTGTCCGCTAGAAACAAAATAGGTTTTATCGATGGGTCTTGCACCAAGCTTGCTGTGGATTCTCCCCAGTACAGGCAGTGGGACAGGTGCAATAATATGGTCATATCCTGGTTAATCAATTCTCTTTCTCCAGATATAGCTGAAAGTGTACAATATTCTGAAACTGCTGAAAGTATATGGAAACAATTGAATAATAGATATGGGACTGTTAATGGAACTAAGGTGTTTGAAATAAAGAGAGAACTTGCATCTACTTATCAAGGGACTCTCGACATAGCTTCTTATTTCAACAAACTTAAAAAACTCTGGATGAATTGGGGGTTATGTGTACCAGCCATGCAAATCTTGTGTTTGTGCTGCTAAGGAGGGACTCCAGAAGGAGAAAGAAGAGGACAGGGTTCATCAGTCCCTCATGGGTCTTAATGAGGTTTATGTGGGGGTAAGAAGCAACATCTTAATGATGCAACCATTGCCATCCCTTGATACAGTCTACAACATTTTGTTGCAAGATGAAAAACAGAGACAGGTTGTTCCCAATGCTCAACTTAATCCAGAATCCCTCTTTTAATGCAAATTCCAACATTAACAGATTCCCTTCTCAACTCTCATCTACAAAACAATATAAACAAAGGGTCAACTTTGATTCAAGCAACCAAAAATCTAATGCTACTTTGTCTTGCAAGTATTGCAAGAAACCTGGTCATACAATTGAGAAATGCTACAAATTACATGGCTTTCCACCAAATTTCAAATTCACAAAGGGTAAGAAGTTTGGTACTGCTGCAAGTGCTGAGGGGCAGACTTCTGAACCTTCTGCAATGTATCCTCCTACTGATCAAAGCTCTTTGATCCCTGGTCTCACCAAAGAGTAGTACTCCCAGTTGATGCAATTGCTCAGTCAGTCTACATTGGGTGACTCAGGGTCCCAACCTGTTCTAATGGGATCTGCCAATTTTGCTGGTAGTACTTCTTCTCTTCCTGTGTGTTTAAATGGTAGTTCTACTTTGTGCATGTTGACTAGTGTAGCTGGAAGGGTTTGGATAGTGGATTCAGGGGCAACTGACCACATGACTTCAAATAAGGACCTTCTTTTTAATATTACACCTCTTCATGTTCCTTACTTAGTTTCTTTACCTAATGGTTATAAGGTTAAGGTAACCTGTACAGGTTCCCTTACTCTGTTACCATCTTTCACTCTACATAATGTTTTGTATATTCCATCTTTTCATTACGATCTCATTTCTGTGAGCAAGGTAATAGCACAATTCAATTGTTATGTGCTATTCACTTCTATTTCTTGCATAATTCTACAGGACCATTCTATGAAGAAGCTACTGGAGCTTGGTAGAATGGATCAAGGATTATACAAATTTCACCTCAACCATTCCGCTCCTCCAACAATCTCATCTCCTAATAACTCTGTTTTACAGAATGCTGAATTTTCTTTACATGGAAATGTTCCAAATGTGAACCACAGATCTGTTCCTGTTTTACCTTGTGCTACTGTTCAAACTGAGAATTCATGTCATGTTTCTACTTTACCTTCTTGTACTGTTCCAAATAATGTGAATAAAAATGATGTTCTTTGGCATCATAGATTGGGGCATGTTCCTTTTGTTCAAATAAAGCATATACCTTCTATCTCTAATGATTTGTCTGCTAAACAGTCTTTTATTTGTCCTGTTTGTCCTTTAGCTAGACAACCTAGGTTATCATTCCCAGATAGTTCTTCCCATTCCACCTCATTATTCTAACTAATTCATATTGACACTTGGGGACCATACCACACCCAAACTTACTCTAGAGCAAAATATTTTTTGACAATAGTTGATGACTATAGCAGAGCAACATGGACACATCTTTAGCACTCCAAGAGCTATGCTTTTACTTTACTTAAAGCATTTGTAGCCATGGTCAAGACACAGTTTCACCTTTCTGTCCAAAAGGTTTGGAGTGATAATGCCTTGGAGCTTGGTTCCTCCAATACAGCCATTCAATTTTTTTCTGATAATGGTATCATACATCAAACAACTTGCCTACACATACCACAACAGAAGGCATTGATTTTAATGAAACTTTCTCTCCCGTTGTTAAAATGTGTACTATTAGATGTCTGATTGTTGTAGCTGTCAAAAAACAGTGGCCCTTGTTTCAGTTGGATGTTAATAATGCATTTTTGCATGGGGATCTGGATGAAGAGGTTTACATGAAACTTCCTCAAGGTCTTTCTGTTACTTCTACATCTTTTGCTTTATCTGTTTCTTCTAAGTATCCTACTTTGGTTTGCAAATTGCAAAAGTCTCTTTATGGTTTGAGACAGGCTTCTAGACAATGGTACGCAAAGCTATCTCATGCACTCTACTCTAGGGGGTATAATCACTCATTGAATGACTACTCTTTGTTCGTTAAGAAAACTGACTCTTTTACTACCCTTATAGCTGTTTATGTAGATGACATCATTGTCACTGAGGATGACTTGAAAGAAATTTCTGCTCTTAAAGCTTTCTTGGATGCTCAGTTCAAAATTAAGGACTTGGGTTGCTTAACTATTTCTTGGGTATTGAGGTTTGTTATCTTCAATCAGGTATTCTCTTGTTTTAAAAGAAATTCATCTCTGATTTGCTATCAGAATACAATTTTGCTGATGTTTCTCCTGTTGTTAGTCCTTTGGACATGAGCCAAAAGTTACACTCTGATGTTGGGGACTTACTGCCTCATCCGGAAAGTTGTAGGAGCCTAATTGGTAAACTAAATTTTTTGACTCACACAAGACCAGATTTATGTTTTGCTGTCGAAAACTTGAGTCAATTTTTACAGAGACCTAGAATTCCACATATGACTGCAGCTTTACATGTCTTGAGATACTTAAAGGGAACTTCTGATTTTGGGGTCTTGTTGAATAATTCTGCTGATTTGTCTTTGATGGCCAGTTGTGACAGTGATTGGGCAGATTGCCCTGAGTCTAGGCGCTCAGTTTCTGGTTTTTGCATTCAATTGGGTGGTAACCTCATCAGTTGGAAGTCTAAAAAGTAGCACATTGTTTCCTTGTCATCAGCTGAGGCTGAATATAGAGCCATGAGTAGAGTGGTAGCTGAGTTAGCCTGGTTAGTTCGCCTATTATCTGATTTGGGTCTCTCTGTTGCTCTCCCAATTCCTATCTTGTGTGACAACCAGGCTGCTATTCATATCGCCAACAATCCGATGTTCCATGAACGTCCCAAGCACATCGAAGTCGGCTGCCATTTCATTCGAACAAAGTTGGCAGATGGTCTTATCTCATTGTCCCATGTTTCTACTAGCTCTCAACTAGCTGACATCTTTACTAAACCTTTGACAGGTCTACACCATCGCGCATTGATTGGCAAGTTGGGCGTGTGTCCACCCTCCAACTTGAGGGGGGATGTTGGAGTTGGAGTTGGAGTTGCCTGATGATTGGACTGGGCGACTGGGCTAGCTGGTGGAACGATTGGGCCTAGCCCGTATTTATTTTGTAACAGCTTTCATTTTTTTTTATCTTACACTGTATAGGCCCACAATATAAATAGGGGCAAATTAATATTCTAGAGGGTTCTTTTTCACATTTTCATTTTTCTGTAAAAAGACAGGAAGAACACTTCTTCTCTGAAAAAGGAAACGATTTTCCCCTTTCTCTATCTCATGAACCCTAATTGAAAATCTGTATTCTCATGATGATTTCTGATTCTAACAAAGAACAGTAGTAAATCACATTTACTACTTTCTTTTCTGTTAAAACAATGCAGAAAGAAGGAGAAGAAATCAGAATTTTCGTAAGAAAAATCTGAGAAAGAGTTCATGTATTTATAGCCAAACGACCAGAAGCGAACACACACACAAGGGAGAAGACATTCCAGCCGCACCATACCCCCACCCCTTTACCCTTCAGCCGCTGCTCCTCTTCCTCACACTCGCCGGAGCGCCGCTGCCCTCCTCCAAATAACCATTCATTCCATCCTCGAACGAGCACAACCACCGCCAGCTGCCCTCCAACGCCCAGTGACCAACCTCTCCAACACCAACCATCCGACCCCAAGCAACAAACCAGACCTCCTCCACCTCTTAACAGCCATCGCACCCCTCATCTCTTAGCCAAAGCCGGAATCCAGCGAGCCATCAGCCACCGGCGACGCGGCTCTAACACCTAGCGTCCCACCTCCTCTCCAAGTCGCCTCTGCCATGGCTTTTGATTCGGACTTTTCCTTTTCTGATTTTGTTATAGTTCACTGATATAATCAAAAAACAAAAAAAAGGATTTCAGTTGGCTTAGTTTCACTTTTGATTTCAAACTCAAAATATATAATGAGAATTTAGTCTATTCTTTTCGTTTTGGTTTCTAAACTGGAGTGGATTTGAAACGGATTTTCGATCGTTGGAGTTGCTGTTTGAGTATGTGGTCTGCTGTTCGAGTCCAGATTTGGAATACATCTGAGGTCTTGTTCGCGTTTTTGGTCTGCGATTCCGGCAGAAGTTCGCGGTTCTTGCTGTTTTTGTTGCCGTTCTTCTAAAATTTTGCACATTCGGACAGAGGCTAATTAAAAATTCATTCAAGGTCCATTGTTACCTTTAATATTTTACCTCCCGATGTTTGTCACATAGGTGTTTGAATGGCATATGCATAAATTTTCCATGACTATGTGTGATATTTTTATCTTACGATGAAATTTGACTGATTAACACGCTTTAACGTTACTGATTTAATCAAATGGTACGGGATCTTAAATTAAATAAGAAGTTCAAACTTGAAAGCTTGTTTCGAATTGATTTCAATAGTTGGGTTGTTGGGTAAAATTAAAAGAAATTTAGGTGCAAGATTGTTCTTTTATTCTTGTTTTTGTTTACTTCTTAGGATAGGAGCATGCTTAGGCCGTCATCACTCGGGTAGGCAAACCGTAGGTCACTTCTTTTCATTTTGCCGAGGTGAGAGGGTGTCCCCTTTAGTCTATACTCAGGGGAATGACCCGTAGAGTTTGTATATATTATTATTATCCGGGGTATGCCCCATAGTACATGTATTTGGAGGCCGAGGCTACACCGTGGAGGAAGTATAGTGTAGGATAGCTTAAGATTCTTATTTATTTTTATTTTTATTTTTCTTTTATTAGGTGGGGACGACCTCGAGCCTCTTTTGATTGTTTATTTTCTTTTTTGTGTATTTTACCTCAATTTGAATATTTTAAAAGCCAATTAGATTGGATACGCAACCGTGACTTTCACGGGACTCGGGAAATGCCTAACACCTTCTCCCCGAGTCAAATGAACCCCCTTAACTAGAACTCTGGTGCAAAACTGGTTTAAGAGTCAGATGTGTTTTGAAAGGAAATTATTATTTTAAAAATGGTGACCTAGCACACCGAAACCAATGTCAGGTGGGACTCTGAAAATCCTTCGAAACACCATCTTTTGTCAGTTTCTAACAGCTTGTTTGGAGGGTTGTTCGTCGTTGTATCGTATTGTATTGTTATCCCAAAACAATGTTTGTTTTGATTGTTTCATTAAAATTGGTTGTATTGTATTGTTAAATCCATTGTTCCGGAACAATGAAAAGTCCCCCTTTTTTAAACAATCGATTTGGTGTGGTGGGAGTGTTTCCTATTTTTCTTTCCAATTATGCCCTAACTTATTACTCTACAATTCTATTTTACCTTTTATCTTTTTTTCTATTTTAATTCCAAATCTCCAACTTATAACCTACTTTATTTTTTTTCCAGACCAATGTTAAAGGTGTTTTGCTGCCTTCTGTTTTATTTTTTCTCCTAATTTGCTTGTAACTCAATTCTAATTAGTTGTGCTCCTTTGTTTTGCCTTCTTCTGTCTCTCTCCTTTGATCTGCTTTCTTATTGTGTTTTTTCTTCTTCTGTTTTGTTTTTTAAAATTATTTTGATGCATAATTTTTGATAATTTTAATATTTAAACAATTGAGAGTATTTTAGTAAACTTATCAGTTACAGTACAATACGATACAGTCAAACCAAACAACAAAATATTATTTAACAATAACAAACAATATAATCTATCCAAATATTGTATTCATAAAATGATACAGTACAATACGATATAATACAATACAATACATTATCAAACGATGAAAAACAATGATCCAAATAAAGTGTAAATGAAAACCCTTTAGAGCTTCACACAATCTTTTTGTTTATTTTTTTAAAAGGGATTAGTAAGGTTAAAAAAGGGGTGTGACAAACACAAGAGGCACTAAGATGACCCGAGAAACATGAAAAGAGGTGTTAATTTGTAGTTTAGCTAGATATCCTATAGGACTTTACATTTATGAAAATGGCAAGTTGCTAGATTACCTCTGCTATATTACAGCTTAGTGAATCTTATCTGTAGTTAAAGTTAATCGTTGATTTATTTAATTGAAACGTGTTACCCTTCTCGGAATTCGTTTTATAAGGAAATTCTTCTATATTAGCAAGTTGCTTGACTACATTATAATATTTGTCAAATTTATACGAGAATGATATTATCTAATTCAGTTATAAATAGAATTCTATTTATGGTGAATGTCTATATTTAGAGAGATTCTAGGGTTTATTACTTGATGGCTAAGTCACCATCTCCCTATAAATAGAGGGTTCTATTCCATTGTAATTCATCCCAAAAATTCAATAAGAATTTTCCCTCTCCCTCTCTCTGCAATATTGTTCTTCTTCTTTTATTATTTTATAACACGTTATCAGCACGAGACTCTACCGTCTCAAGAAGATTAAGGTACAACTTTTTTCCTCTTTTAATTATGACTGAAATTATGAAAAGAAAGTTCGTTGCCTTTGAAATTTCGGGCAAGAACTATATGACATGGGTGTTGGATGCTGAAATCCACTTAGATGCTATGGGTCTTGGAGACGCCATTAAAGACAAAACTAAAGCATCCACCCAAGACTGTGCTAAGGCCTTGATTTTCTTGCGCCATCACCTTGATGAAGGGTTGAAAATAGAATATCTCACAGTCAAAGATCCACTTGCTTTGTGGAATGGCTTAAAGGAAAGATATGACAACTTAAAGTTGGTCACCCTTCCACAAGCACGATATGATTGGTCTCATCTGAGGCTCCAAGACTTTAAGTCTGTTTCAGAATATAATTCTACGATGTTCAGAATTACTTCTAAATTGAAACTCTATGGAGATACTATCACTGATTATGATATGCTTGAAAAAATGTTTACAACGTTTCATGCCTCCAATATGGTTCTGCAACAGCAGTACAGAGAGAAAGGTTTCAAGAAGTACTCTGAGCTGATTTCTCTTCTCCTTGTTGCTGAGCGAAACAATGACTTGCTCATGAGAAATCACGAAAATCGACCCATTGGGTCTACACCATTGCCTGAAGTGGATGATGTGTATTCCCATTATGCTAAGCGTGGAAAAGGCCGTGACTCTTTTCGTGGTCGTGGTCGTGGTCGTGGTCGTGGTCGTGGCCGTAGACAAGGAAGAAATTTTCCTAGTGTTAATCATCCCCCAAAGAGAAATAACCAACAAAAGTGGAAAGGGAAAGATGAGAAGCCAAAAGCAAATGGTTCAGAAACTGAATGCTATCGTTGCGGTGGAAAAGGGCATTGGGCAAATATTTGTCGTGTACCAAGACATTTGGTTGAGCTTTATCAAGCATCTCTAAAGAACAAAGGCCCTGAAGCTAACTTTGTCTATGACAATGAATTTGACATCTCCCACTTAGATGTGGCAGACTTCTTTGAGCGCCCTGATGGAAAAATAGACCACTTGATCGGTGATGGATCTGTGGTTAAAGAAGATTGAGTAGTTTGATGTTATTTTATTTTGCTTATTCGTATTAGTTAGTAAATAAACATCATGTAATTATCATAGTTTACATGAGTAGTAGTTATTAGTATCAATTAGTATTATTTGCTTTACGAAATAGCTTTAGTTCGTTTTGATTAAATATAATTCTAGTATTCGTTTTAGACAATGTTCCAATATATCATTCAGACATTACACACAATAAATATCATAATAAGTGCTTTTAACTTATAGTATGTAGTACTGTAATAAGAAATACACAAAAACGCTAAAATTATGTGCGCAACACGTACTGTAACATAGATTGAATACGTATGTAGAAATGCTAATGTTTATGCCTCAAAATTTCGTAGCAGAAAAGGAACAGATGAAAAATATAACAATCCTCTGCACCAAGTTATTCCGTATAAAGATTGTTTTGATATATTTTCATTTATATCAGTATTAGATCTTTAAAATCTTTGTAACTTTCTATTGTTTATCATTTATATAAAGTTTCTGGACAGTCTTACAATTCCATATACTCAATAGCTCGCTGGAAGTTCGATTTAAAACTACATTGATTGTTTACATAGAATGCTTATTGACGACTTTAACAACATTATTTATTTCGATTACATAAATTGTTGTCAGTTGC